ATAACTTACATGATGTTGATGTGGCTGAGATTTGTAAACTGACAAAACCTACTAAAATAACTGAAATCAAAGGAGATGGTAATTGTTTGTTTAGAAGTTTATCATTTGTTCTTTCTTTATGTGAAAATAATCATAGAAAAGTAAGACTTGCTATAGTTAACCATATAAAATCAAGGCAGATTTTTTCGCACCTTTATTAAGAGAACAGTATCAATCTATTGATGACTATATTAAACGTTCTAGAATGAGAATACTAGGAACATGGGGTACAGAATTTGAAATATTAGCAGCTTGTGATTTGTTACAAACAGATATATATATATTTACTAATAATAAATGGTTGAAATATCCTGTATTACAGATTAACAATAGTTATACATCTGAGGCTATTTATCTTCACCATAGAGATGAGAATCATTATGAAGTGGTTGAAAATGTTGAGAGAAGTGAACCTATTATAGTTATTGATGATAATGTTGATACACAACTATCAGGTAAAAGAAAACATTTGAAAAAGAAACGAGGTAGTAGATGGAGATCTATTAAAAAGCGAAGTATTTATTTTCAAAACTATCATTTAGTAAAGAAAGAACTAAATTCTGAGCAAAAAGTCAGATCAAACTGGAAACTTGCATTTAGAACCAAAAAAGAAATTAATAATTTGAATAAAAGGAGGAGAAAACAATATCAGATTAGTTATATTAAAGCTCATTTAAAAAGAAAATATACAAGTCAATTAAAGTCTATACTACACACACAATATGAAACAATACTAAAACCAAAACTTGAACACAAATATCAAGATGTATTAAAACCAAAACTTGAAGACAAATATCAAGATGTATTAAAACCAAAACTTGAAGACAAATATCAAAATGTATTAAAACCAAAACTTGAAGACAAATATCAAGATGTATTGAAACCAAAACTTGGAGACAAATATCAAAATGTATTAAAACCAAAACTTGAAGACAAATATCAAAATGTATTAAAACCAAAACTTGAAGACAAATATCAAAATGTATTAAAACCAAAACTTGAAGACAAATATCAAAATGTATTGAAACCAAAACTTGAATGTATTGAAACCAAAACTTGAAGACAAATATCAAAATGTATTGAAACCAAAACTTGAAGACAAATATCAAAATGTATTGAAACCAAAACTTGAAGACAAATATCAAAATGTATTGAAACCAAAACTTGAAGACAAATATCAAAATGTATTGAAACCAAAACTTGAAGACAAATATCAAAGTGTATTGAAACCAAAGCTAAAGAACAAATATCAAAAAGTTTTAAAACCAAAGCTAAAGGTTAAATATCAAAAAATCTTAAAATGGGAATTAAAATGTAAATATATATATGAAATAAAGTTAAAACTGAAGCAAAGGTATATGAATGAATTGAGAATTAAAATTTTAAATAAATATAGAAATATGTATAGAACTAATTTACAGTATAGAAATAAACAAAAACAGAAATCTAGTAATAAATATCACCAGAATACTAATTATAGAGTCAAAGTAAACAAACTGAGAAATAAAAGACGAATTACCAAAAGAAAAGAAATGAGTAGTATTGATAAAGTTATTAATCAATTTAAAACTGATAGTTCTAATGGTCCTATTTATGTGTGTTCTGTTTGTAATAGATTATTGTTTAAGAATCAAGTTAAAGAGTGTCAAGAAGAACTTTATGAAAAGAAAAGTAAACTAGTAGAAAGATTAGCAAAGAAATGTATAACTAAAACTTACTATCATATTTGTGATGGTGGTTGTATTACCTATGATTGTTGCTGGTCTGATAATTATAAAACTCTTTGGATATGTTTAACATGTAATAAAAAAATTTTCAAGGTAAAATGCCAGCTGAGGCTGTAGTTAATGACATGGATCCTGGTCCATTACCTAATGAATTGAAATGCTTAAATCAATTAGAGAAACACCTGGTATGTAAAAATATTCTATTCTTGAAACTAGTTAAAGTTTGTCCACAAAATGATAAAAAATTATTAGGTGAGATAGTTTCTGTGCCATCAAATTTGACTGAAATGAGCAATGTATTACCAAGATGTAAAAATGATGATGAAATGATAAGAATTAAACTGAAAAAGAAAATTTCTAATAAAGGATATTATGAATTTCAAACAGTTACAAAAAATCACATAAAAAATGCTCTAAATTACTTGAAAGATAACAATGTTTATTATCATGATGTTACTCTAAATGAGAATTGGATTGAAGAACAAGATAAACCAAATGAAATGATAGAAGATGATATATCTGTAAATGTAGAATCTAATGATACAACAGTAAATGTAGAATCTGATCATAAGTCTAATAATGATAGCGAGGATGATTTACCATTAATAGATGATAATATAGGTAGATATACTTGTGATTCATTAGGTGGAACATGTTTACAATCTGTTGATGCCACTGCTGAAGTATTGAATAGTTCTGATAAGATATTTTCTGTTTCTCCAAGTGAAAATAATCAACCAGTTAGACTTTTAATGGATAAGTCAAATGAAGCGTGTTCCTTTCCTTATTTGTTTCCTAAAGGTAAAAATACTTTTTTTGAAAATAGAGATGTTAGAATAACACTAGGTAAATATTTAAAGACAAGGTTAATGTCTGTAGACACTCGTTTTGCATCATGCTCTGATTATTTATTTTATGGTCAATATATTTATGAATTACAACAGATAATATCAGGTACATCTATTGCTTTAAGACAAGGTAGAATGGGAGGTAATATGATAACAGCTGATATGTTAACTCAAGATGAACCACTACAAAATATTCTCAAATCTGATACTGGTTATACTTTTATGAAAAACTGTCGTGGAAGTCCAGCTTACTGGCAAGCTACTCAGAAAGATCTTTTTGCTATGTTAAGACAACTAGGTACTCCTACTTTTTTTGTGTCATTTAGTTGTAGTGAATTAAGATTTGAATCCTTTTTAAAAACAATATTGTTACAGCAAGGTTCTAATGTAAAAGTAAGTGATTTAAATTGGTTACAAAAACGTGAATTGTTGAGATCAAATCCGGTAACAGTTGCTAGACTTTTTGATCAAAGATTCAAGTTATTTTTAAGAAATGTATTACTATCAAATGCAGAGCCAATAGGAAAAATTTCTGACTATTTTTATCGAATTGAATTTCAACAAAGAGGATCACCACATGTGCATATGATAATATATATAGATCAAGCTCCTAAACTAGATGTAGATAGTGATGAACAGGTTGTAGAATTTATTGATAAATATATTTCATGTGAATTGCCAGATGAGAAGACAGACCCTGAATTAAATGAAATAGTATGCAATGTTCAGAAACACAGTTCTAAACATTCTAAATCTTGTAGGAAAAATAAAAAAGTTTGTAGATTTAATTTTCCTAAACCTCCTTCAGATAAAACATTTATTTGTCGACCATTAGAAATTGAGGATCCTACTGAGCAAGATGAAAATACTGAAAGTAATGAGATAAATATTGACAATAAAAATACTTTAACTACAGATCAAGCTCGATCTATTTTAGAATCCATTTGGAAAGAATTGTCGTCTGAAGATAAAAACTATCAGTCATTGTCTAGTTTATATGATGAATTGGGTATTAGTCAAGAACTGTTTGAACTAGCAAGTGAGAAATTAACTAAAAAGACATATATAGTACTAAAAAGAGGTGTAAATGCAAGCTGGATCAATCAATATAATCCTCATATGTTGAGAGCCTGGAATGCAAACTTAGACATACAATATGTAACTAATGCTTATGCATGTATTATTTATATTGTTTCATATATTACTAAAGCAGAACGAGAAATGGGTTTGTTATTACGTGAAACATTTAAAGAAGCTAAACAAAATAATTTGGATGCAAAAGCTTGTATGCGTAAAATATCAACTACTTATTTACATTCTAGAGAAGTTTCTGGTCCAGAAAGTGCTGTAAGAGTTTTAGGCTTACCTTTAAAACAATGTTCTAGAAAAGTTCAGTTTATACCTACTGGTAAGAATAATATTAGAGTAACTCTCCCACTGAAAGTTTTACAAAGTAGAGCTAAAGATGGTACATTGTCAGATTATAATTTGTTTATGACATCAACAATTGATCGTTATTTAGCTAGACCTAAAGGCAAACCATTTGATGATATGTGTATTGCTACTTTCTGCTCAGAATATAGAGTAATGTCTAGTTCTGAAAATCCTAATATCAATTCAGAGAAAAATCCTGCTTTTGAATTACAAAATGATTTAGGTTTTATTATAAAACGTACAAGATCTCTACCTGCTATTGTTCGTTATGCTAGATTTTCTGTGACAAAAGACCCTGAAAATTATTACCTTAGTAGTCTTCAATTATTTTTACCTTATCGTGTTGACACACAGTTAAAACCACCTCAGTTCGAAACACATGAAGAGTTTTATAAATCAGGACATGTAAAAATCGCTAAACAAATTGTGTCTGTTAAAGAAATTGTTGAACAGAATCGTAGACTATTTGAAACTGATATAGATATTGATTCGATTGCAGAAGTTGTAGAAAAATGTGGTGATTTTCAAGATGCCTGGGCTAGTATAGCACCTGAAAGTGAAATAGAAAGAATAGAAACTGAAAGATTTCGAAATGAGAATGATACTGAAGAACAAGACAATTCAGAACCACAAATCCCAGACATTATTTCTGATAAAGGTAACAGTGATAGAATTAGATCTGAAAATAATATAAGTGGAATTTCTAAAGCTGATGCTATTCCTATGTTAAAATCGTTAAATGACATTCAGTCCAGAGTATTTTATAAAGTTCGACAATATTGTTTAGATAAAGTACATGGTAAAAATCCTGATCCATTAAGATTGTTTATAACAGGTTCCGCTGGAAGTGGGAAAAGTCACGTAATAAAGTGTATAAATTATGAGGCTTCTAGAATTTTAGCCAAAATTGCAGAAAACTTAGATGATTGTTCTGTGTTATTAACAGGGCCGACAGGTGTTTCGGCTTTTGCAATTGGTGCAAGTACCATACATTCTAGTTTGTCAATAAGAACTAAGTTTACATTACCATATCAACCATTAGGACAAGAAACTGTCAATACATTGAGGTGTAAATATCGTAATTTACAGATTCTGATTATAGATGAAATTTCTATGGTAGACCACAAGTTACTGTGCTATATTCATGGTAGATTATGTCAAATTAAGGGTACTAGTAGTAATGAGTTATTTGGTAATATCTGTGTAATTTGTTTTGGTGACATGTGGCAATTAAAACCAGTTAAAGCTTCTAGTTTATGTCATGATAGTGTAATAGATATTTGGAATGGAAATTTTAAACTTATTGAGTTGACAGAAATCATGAGACAGAAAGATGATTTAGCTTTTGCTCAACTTTTAAATAGAATTAGAAAAAGAAAGAAAAGTGAAGAAATGTTGGCTTCAGATATTGAAATGTTACAAAGTAGAGTTACAAATTTAGAAGATGACAGTTTACATATATTTTCCACAAATCAACAAGTAGATAATTACAA